AACCTTTAAAGTACAGAGAAGTCTGGCAGGAACAATGAAACAGGCAGTGGTACAGAGTTAAAAGTATGAACCTGAGATCTAGAAATGACAGGAGTATAAAAGGAAGAGTTAAAACACACTTTATAAATAGCGCGCACATGTGTGTGCGTGCACTTGTGTGTGTTGGTAAACAGAGCACCAAAAGAGAAAGGCGAGTCGCAGTACGACCCAGTCATATCCAGATACGCTATTTTTGTTGCTGCACTTTGAATAACCGCAAGCATAGCGTGTGGGAACCGTTAATTCAGGAACAGGGACGATGACTGCTTTATGGGGTAAAATTAGCTTGCTTTGGCGCTTTTTATCTCGCTGTAGCCTAATACTGGAATCCCAACAAAAGGCCATAATAAATTCAAGTTATCTGATGACTGCAGTGTTTAACTAGAAGAGTAGGTGAAATTAAAGTCTTGCTAGTGACGAGTGCTACATTTTTCAGTACCTGAATCTCAGCTTGTTAACGCTCCTGTAACTTTTCCACATTAACACAATTTGCCTTTATGAACTCAGGAATATTTTCAACAGTGGTTTACATTATTTATGCAAATACCCTGTGTGCCTAATTGCTTACTCAAATGAGTATTTTCTTTGAGCAATATGAAACAAATAAGTGGCAATGGAAAAGACTAAGTCTAGGAAGAGATGGAGAACTGTTTGCTGTCAAGACAGGGAATTTGAAGAAGTTCATAAATCAGAGGCTGTTCTCATTGCTATTTAGTCCGCGTACTGATACAACAATGTCTTTCTCTGTAACATCACTTGCAGCATTCCCCAAATTTTAAGTTGTTACTGGGAAACAAGGATATAGATACATTTTGAAAGTCAACCCACCTAAAATAAAAATCTGCAGCACCTCAAATAACTTGAGGAAACTACCAAGACTGTATTTCCCAATCTCTGTTTCGAAATGACATTAAATGTATCAAAGTATGCATGTTTTTTTAACAGTCACTCATATTGCTTGATTCAGTCCTGTATAGTTTTCTCTCAATGTGTAGAGGTACAAGACTAACCTTGAAGCATATTAAGTATACAAGTGTAAGCCTGACGTTAGCTTGATTTAAGGCCTCTCTACACACAGGTGGCTGTGTGGAAGTACAGTGAAAAGTATATGCAGATTACATCTGAATGTTAAGACTTACACTTTTCATTATAAACGGTTTCCTTTAATAGACTGAGTAGTTTATGATATCTATGGCATTCACAGTGTACCCATGACTACAGTTTCCAGGTGTCACCACGTCACACGCAACTTTCTCAAGCAAACACATTTCCTTTCGTTACTCCAGCCGTAAGTCTGCTTTAAGCTCTCAGCTAATTAACAAAGGCAACAGTTTTGTATATTATGCATCACGCACTTTATTTCTAATACAGCGCATTAATCATTTATATTTTAAATGATCGGCACTTCAACCACTCTCAGCACAGCTGCAAGTAACTTGCATTACCTGATCTTGTGATTTCTTTTTCTTCTTCTTCTTCCCCCAGCACCCTGAACTCTCTGCGTCTTTTCCATTGGCATCACCACAGAGTAATCCATCAAGTTCATCTGTTCCCATCTGCTGTCCCTGAGATGTTTCTGCAGCTAGCCTGTATGAGAGGTTCCTCAAAATGCACACACAGTTTTCAACGGTCTGAAAAGCGTGACAAAAAACCAAACCAAACCAAAAACAGAAAACAAAACAAAAAGTTAAAATCCTTCCCTTTCTCACTCTGTATACAAAGCAGAAGAAGTATCATTGATCTTAGCACACACATTTTCCCAGCACAATTCTTATCTGCTCGTTTCCGAGTGCTCCCCAGGTAACCACAGCTTAAGAGATTTAGAAATTTTTATGGAAACAAATCAGTGGTCTGAACAATATTTTTTGCATCAGTTCTTTTACTGTCATTCTGAACTTCATGCTGGAGCCCCACGTGAAACAGAAGCCAAGATAAAAAGTGATCAAGAGAACCTGAACACGCACATGATGTCAGCAAAGTCCTGCCTCAGTACCTCGGTGAATAGAAAATGCTACAAACAGAAAATGGCAATAGGTGGTTTTTGGCTTTTGCTTTTTGTTGGGTTTTTTTTTTTTTTTTTTTTTTTTTTAAACCCAGAAATAGAGGTTATTTCTGGCATCAGTACTCTGTAAATTACCAGAAAAATGGGACCCACATTCTGTTTCACAAATACTTGTAGCATGAACAGATGATGTTTCTCGAGTCCCAGAAGTAAGACTAGAAATCTCAGGAGTCTTGCTGCTTTTACTGCTTCTAGCCAGGCTGCTAATAACTCGTAGGCAGCCTTTCCCTTTCATCCATTTGTCCCCCTAGCAGGTTGTGCCTTCTGTAAAAGATGGTGGCAGGAATCCAGAAACGGAGCGAGACCCAGTGGAGTAAAAAAAAGACAGCACTGATAAATCAAGATAATTTCTGCAAGTCTAAAAGAAGCTCTGTTTAGACTTGCTTGAAGCCTACTGATTTAGCCAGTTCAATTTGGTTTGACTACCCTTACCCGGAAGGATATATGCTTAATTTTCTGGAGGCAGGGAAAGCATGGTTAGAAAAGCCAGTCTGTATCTATCTGTATCTATTTCAACTGTTCCTAATGCTTCATGGAGATAAAAAGCAATGGTCAGTACATTCCACCTCTGTTGCTCCATTAACCCAGAATGGATCAACTGTGAGGCTTTCGGCGCGATCGTACTCTGCCATATTCACCAGTGAGGCAAACAGATGGGGCTTCGTTTACTTTCATATACTGTACGAGCTTATGCCAGGGATGCATTTGGCACATGGTTTTTGAGATGACATAAGTTCCAGAGATTGTAGTGAATGCTGAACTTTGACTCATCGAGACAGGAATTTTTATTTATTTATTTTTTAAAATGTAAATGAATTTTCACATTACACTTGTACTAATTTGCAATCTCCAGCCAAATATGCAAACACATGTAGAACTATATATATAGAAAATGTGGAACTTCTTAGTGCACTTTTCATACTTCAAAGTGTTGCAGATCTCATGGTGACCATGAAAAGTTTGCTACTTCTTTTCCATATTTGAATTTTATTCACTCTTGCTAATATTTACTTCTTCGCATCCACAATGTGCTGAAGTTGAAGCTTTGCATTTGTTGATTAGGGTTCTGCATTTCAATTCCCCTCTTTACGAATAATAGTTTTCAGACCTAAAATTCTTCTGTCAAAACCAAATTAGCCAAGTCCACTGCGAGGACAATGTTACCTCTCAAACTAAAACCTGATAAGCAAACTTCCAACACCTTCTAAGCACTAAGGTGCTCTTGTACAAGCCAAGAAAACTGGTTCTAGTCATGCAGTTGGACAGACTTGTCTCCTTCTTGACTTCTAGCTTTGAAGATTCAAGGGTCCTTGTATTCCTCATTCCTACAGATATTGTCCAGTTTCTTTGTAAGGGGACTAAATACTAGTTCAGTAGCCTTAATAGATCAAATGAAAATTCTGAACAGTAACTTTGTCAAATAACTGTGTCTAAGTCACTCATTTTTAACATTTTAACTTGAAGTATCACAGTTTTTTCTTACTGGACCTTTATAAGAAACACTGCTGCTAAGATGCTCTTGATGCTGCTAAGCTTTATGCACTCTTGACTTCACCAACGTGAGGAACAACCCTAACATCAACTCTGCATGCGCTTGCAAGTCCCTCATCCTCTTTCAGGCCTGCAAGAGCAGGGACCTGTTTTTCAGTATTTCAGTTTTTAGTCACTAACAGTATTACAAAATATGGTTATTTGGTAATATATGTCATTACAGGGCAACTGTTGGGGCATCTGGAAAACAGCATTTATAACTTGAAAATAAAGTTCCATTTTTTGTTGTAACAGCACCACTTTTGGAACTAGATTATAAGCTAGATTTAGAGCCAGTTATTTAAATATTTAATTTCATTAAAATTACATTCTACTTTGGGATAAAGATGCGAGGTAAGAGGTTACACTATGATGCTTTGCATTTAGCTGCACAACTGCTTTATGTCATACAGTTAAAACCCCCTTAGACAGGAGGTTAAAACTACTAAGGCAGGGAGAATATTTTTTGTCTCAATTCTTCCCTTTCCCCTCCATATATGACTGCGGTTTTGCCAAGTCAGACTGGCTACAAATTAGAGTATAAACACAACAGTCTGTATTAACAATAGGAGGCAAACCAGGGAGCTTACCGTGTTCCTTATTAAGCCTTTTTAACAGCAAAACAGTCTTGAAGTCAGTTGGGTCACCTAGAACGGAACTGCTGAGAAAGCAGCAGCTGAGCTGTGAGATGGGGCATAACGTGACCTCCCCCCTCCCTCCTCCTCCATCCACCTCCCAGCTCTGCTCCCGTGAAGCCCCTCTAACTTCTCCTTTCTCTTAGGGAAGCCAAACCAGGGAGCTTTGAAACAGGCCTGGGGTCGGCAGGCGGCAGTGAGTTGGCTCCGAATCCGGCTGCAAGTGCCCGTGCCTACCTTGTGGGCAGGCCTCCTCCTCGAGAAACTTCTAGTAATGGAAGTGATCAGAGACTAATGGGTTGTGGGGTTTTTTTTTGGGGTGTTTTACTTTTAAAACAGAAAAACATGCTGCTATCCCAATGCCACATGCTACAAACCTCTCATCATTCCTCTCTCCCTCCCCTGAATGCATGGGCAAATTTCACCTGATTGGTCCAGGCTAACGACCAGAAAGTTCCGGAGGTTATCCCTCTCCAACCCATAAACCCATAGCAGGCCATGGACAACTATCTGTGAAGGATCATTTGGAAATACAATCCCAGTGGGCTTTAAAATTTTGCAAATTAAAATTTTGCAATTTAAAATTTTGTAAGAGGCTGCTCTCCTGGGATTCTCAGGGGTTTGTATTACAAATCTTCAATTTGTAAATGCTTTTAACTTTAACTAGGCAGTGCGTTTCACCTTTGGAGAAGCATGTTTGTGCCCTAGTACTTCAGAGAAGTAAAGTTGACATAAAAATACATCTTAAAACAGTTGCTATTGAAAGCATTCATTGATCATCTCCAAAGAAGAAATAATGTTGGTATTACTGCAAAACTGCCTATTAATTGTGCATTGGTTTGTTTGTTTGTTCGCCTTGTAAGCCTACCTCACTGTTATTAGCTCTGCCTCATACTGGGTACTGAAAACCGATTTTAAGGTAAACCTGGCAGAGCAGCGTAAGGACGTTTGCATGGAATATGACACATTTGCTCTTCTTAAATCGGTATCGTATTTTCGCCCTTAATAAATCAAGCGAGAAGATGACATGCTTACCTCTGTGCACTACACAGGTAGACACAAATCCAACACTTCGCATGCAAGCATACACAGCTCAACAGAAGGGAGAGGAAAAAATGGGCTAAATTATGCTTTGCTAAGGCATCCCTCAGAATGCATTTTTAAAAAAAAAACAAACCTGTCACTTTATAGTCCTTGTACCCTTGAATACCTAGATTTCTCGCTCCTCAAAAGACAAAGATGACAAACCTTACTATCAATTTCACTGCTCCCCAGAGCAGACTGGATCACGTACAGCAATGCATCCGTCAGGCCATCACACTCCCTCATTCTTCTGCGGGCCTCCTCTCCAGCAGAGCTGACATTCCTGCAAGGCAACAGCAAGGGTCACCACCTCCGCCGCTCCCCTGCCCACCTCCCCTCCTGAAACGCTCTCACAATTAACACACAGATAAAAACACTCGGGTTTTTTTTTTTCCTCCTTTTACCAGTTCAGAGCTGTGAATAATGAAGACAGCTGTGAATGAGCTCAGGAAATGTAACGAAGAGGGGAACAAATGGAAGCCATCAGGTCCTCCCCACCAGAGGGCTGGGAGGCCAAGCAGCATGCGCCCGCCTGCGCTGGGAGACTCACAGCCTGCTAAAATTTGGAGAAGGGCTGATCATTTTTCTTTTTTTTTTTTTTTTTTTTAAAGTAGGTTTTGTATTTGTGAGAAAGCGTTTTATAAATGTGCGTATGTACATATAAATCAGGCTTTGAAAAGTCTAGAGGTTTTGCCAAAGAAATCTCCTAGGATTTGAAGGGCCCAGTAGTTAGGGCTCTTAACCTGAGAGAAAAATATTATCAAAGCATAACATAAAACACCTGGTATTGCTTGCTTCTCATTTTACATGAGTGTTTCCTTTTCCCTCTCATTTTCAGAGAACATTAATGCCTCAATCTTCTCTTTATGTAGTTACTCACAAGTTGTTTTACATTGCAAAGTTTGAAACCTCAGCTTATTATAGTAATTGTGTTCCTCAGACAGGGCCAGAGAGCCTTCTGAACACATTTATAAAAACACAATTAAAACAAAATTTACTGCATAACATAATGTGTTGTAAAGTTCAAAATACTGATATATAAAGAAACAAATATGTATGAATGAGCATATATAAGTAGAATCTATACTTGCTAACATCAAACCTCCCTGAGAAAAATTGCATTCAAATTTGCACAGTGGTTTTGAGTTGGAAATGGGTGAATTAGCAATCTCAGGAATGGGGTAAAACTTTTCACACAAATGTGGCTCCTTTCTCCTCCCTACTGAAGACTATACAAAGGAAGAACAGAGAAGAGCACACCAGCCCTACGTACTTAATGCCAACGTATGGAAACGGAAGGGAGGACGTTGGCTCTTTGGTTTGGGAAGAAGGCAAGGCATTCCCTTCCTCTTATGCCGTTTTCAACTGCCTTTGCATTAAAGTTGGAAGAAGGATATGTCGCGGTTTAACCCCGACTGGCAAGGGAGAGGGGAATGAATTTTAGATAGAGGAAGGTGCAAGGACTTAAGGATAGATTTCCTCTCAATTCTTTCTTTGCTCTACCTAATTCATCCTGTTCTGCCTCCTTATTATCTGAAAAAAAACCCCATTTCCGTTCCCCCAGACCACCAAAGAGTTTTCCAAATCAAGTAATCTTATAACTGGACAATCCCCCAGTCCCTCCAATGCAGGCTCCTAATCGATCCTGCTCCCTAAACACACATGATTTTACCCCCACACAGTCCTAACTAGTTCTGCTCTCCCACACCCAAACTGCCCCAATCAATTCAATACTGTTTCCTTCACCTCTGCAGACAGCCCGACAAAAAACATAGAGCCCAGGAGCACAGGAGTGAATTCCTTTATCTCCCTAGCACACAAATTCATGCTTTCCATTCTCCTTGAGACTCCCCACTTCACCCCACATTACACATCTGAAGCGTCCCCTTCATAATGGCTTGTGAGTTTTGTGTTGTCTTGTTCTTCTTCTGATTCCCTGAACGCCATACCTCTCCCTCTCTCTGCTGCTGTAAGAGCAGCAGATGAGGGGTTTTCCTCGAGTTCACAGGAAAACCCTCTTCTACCATCCAGCAACTGGGGTCTGGAGAGCATCAACTGGAAAAGTCTTCCATTGGCTCGCTCTCCGAAGTGGTGGAAACCTTTTGACTTCCCTTTGGGTGACAGAAATTAGAAGGTAAAATTATTGAGCACGGTTTTTCCAAAACAGTGCCTGTGCCCTATATTTGCAAGGCTGGGGACTCTGCCTAAAGTGTATTTTGAGCAGACTGTCCCCTCATTAAAGGCAACAGCTCCACCTGAAATTCCTGAAAGGCAGCACATGTAGGAAAAGCAGAATCATGGATCTGAAAAGTGCATTGGGGGTGGGCAGTGAGGACAAGGGGGATTAGTGGACTTCTTTTATCTGAAATTCTACTTTCCCACCCTCCAGGAAAATAAAGACAGAGATAAAAAAGGAGATAGTAGCATCCAGCCCTAAAAGAATAACTGCACAAATTGCAATAGGAGGATGCTGAGGAAGTATTCTCAGCACACCACCTTTCCTTGCTGAAAAAAAAAGGTGAAATAGTATTACTGAGTCCTTCTAAACAGAACTAGACTTAACAGAGCCTGCACTAACGTTATGTGTCCAGGCTTCTTCATTTTCTGCAGTTATGTATACCAAGCGCAAACTTTCAAAATATAAAGACTTAGACATTGGTAGAAAGAGAGAGAGACACTCTCCCTTATCTTTTAATTGAGGCGATTTCTCCTCCTCTCTAGCAAGGCCAAATGCACATCACCTTGACCCTCCAGAGCCTGCGCAGACTGGCAGCCTCTCCGCTCCTCTCCAAGTTCACCAGAAACTCCTCCTCACCAAGAAAGCGATGCAGACAACCTTATAGTCCCTGAGCTGCAAGCTGTCTGCCTCATCCATTTCCAGCCAAACAAAGATCATGAGGCCCTTATACAAAGTAATACAGATGCACTAGGGGCACATCTTGCACAGAAAATGCGTTTCTTTGCCCTGTGTGGAGAAGCCATCGAGTTCAGTTCTTCTCTTTATCATCCTTCCCCATTATGCTCCAGTTGCTTCTGTAATCAAAAGGTGGATACGCTCAATTCCCACAACTGCTTTCCCTTTTCTTTTAGAAGTCCCTGTCTAGTTTCTGCACTTGACTCACCACTACTACAGCTCTCCCCAGATTTAGCGTATTTGTTTACACGGGAAACAGCTTAAAACCCAAGATAAATCCAAACTTTGCATCACCATTTTGGCAGAAATAATAATTTGATTATGTAAAAGAAATACACCCCATTATCTAACTATTCCCACTTCACCTCTGTTGAAGGAAGCATTGTTAACTGAGATCTTTCACAGAAGGTCTCTAATATCATCATGTTCAGGCTACACAGTTCTGCGGAAGAGAAGCAAGTTCCGCGGTACTTCAGATGTAAAAGAAAACAGGCTGCCATCTTCATTTTCTTACTTCTTGCTGTTAACTCGAACACGCTGTGGCTGCCAGCGTGACAGGGAGTAAGACATGATTTGTCATTTGTGAATTTACAGGTCACTGTGCAAACCTTAAACTGGAACATTAGAAGTAGGTACTGTTGCTAAAATGTCCCACTAAGGCCAGGTTGGACGGGGCTCTGAACAGCCTGATCTAGTTAGCGGTGTCCCTGCTCCTGCGGGGGGGTTGGACTAGATGACCTCTAGGGGTCCCTTCCAACCCAAAACATTCTATGATTCTATGATTCTAAGTAGGCACCTATTTCTCCAGTGTCGGTCTCCAAACAGGTGAAACCAAGTTTTCTGGATTTTTAAATAGATGTGGAGATACAATACACTGGTTTTCAGGGAAAAAAAACAAACAACTTTTCCATCAGCAAAAGCTTGATTGCATGGTAGTTTGTGATACTTTGTGGAAACTCTACTCGCAGGGTATATGTGAGGTGTAGGCTGACATTTTGAATCTAACAGGGCAAGGAGTCCTTTAGACCTCCATAAACCAGTAAAATTAATTTCAAATGGAATCCAGTCACACCAAATACCAAGAATACAGAGTGCTGAAGCATAACTCTTAGTTTAGTCAGAAGGTCCCACTCAGACCTCCAAAAACCAGCCAACGTAAACAGCTTCTTCTCAGGAGAGGAACGCCAAGAACAGATAGCCGGAAAAACAGCTCAGACCCCTGGCTCATCAAACTGCTGCTTTCTGAACAAACGGCAGACTGATTTGGCTAATAATGTAGGTATGGAAAGAGAATTACAATAATCCAGCTCCAGCTTTATGGGAGGATGTGTCACAGCTATCATGTCATCACCAGATAATTAACAGCAGGCACAACCCTCCAAACAGACATAAGGGGTGTCAATCCAGTGCTCTATGGATGTGAAGTGTGTGGTATATGGATGTGAAGTGTGTGGTATAAAGGAATGCACTGAGCAACACCTACCTGATTCTGGTCAACCCTGGCACTTACCTCAGTTATTCAATATAACTGGTGGTGGGATTTGAGGCAGGGGAAGATGGGTGGTGTCAAGTAATTTCTCCCTCCTTTAGGGTCATTTTCCATATGCTCATACAAACCGTGGGAGATTTCAAGCAATATCCTTATGACTCTAGGATAACTAAGTTCACATGCTTTATCCAGGGGAGGGACATTGAATTCTATGGAAAGATCATCCAGAAAGCCAGTGTGCTCAGAGATACGCCCTCTGGATATGGGACTATTTAGCAAGCTGCTGACACTACTCCTGGTTCTACAAAGCTCAAAGACAGAATTAAAGTATCTGCAGAAACAGACGCCCTCCTTGAGCATGCTCAGGTCACATCAGGTAGCATGACCTTCCCTGTACCAGCTACAGGTCTGCAGCCTGCAGATCTCACTGCAGTCATGTAGGAAAATTGTTGAGAACAAATAATCCTCGCTTAGCAAAGATGAAGTTGAGATGGGTCTTCCTCAAGGCCCCATGATAAAAAGGGAAAGCATGTTTAATATCTAGGATATGTAACATGCCTGCTATAGACTGATGTGATATAAGACAGGACAGATACAGGAAGAACAATGTCCTAAATCAGGTGGAACACAGAAGTTATCTTTGGTATGAAACTTCAGATACGTCCAAAGTATACCTTTATTCCAAAAAGTTTTGTGTAAAAGGGACTAATCATAACAGCCTCAACCTTTTTCAGCCTTCTATTTGTTATAACAGCCACCAAAAAGAGATTTTTCACAGAAAGGGGGCAAAGTTTATATATAAACCAAGAATTCAAAAAAACTCCATTAATATTCTAGGAACCACGTTTATGTTTCCCTGAGGATACCTAGCAAGGGAGAA